GCTGCTCCCTGTTGTGCACTATTCCCCACGGAGCGACGCCCACGGCCACCACCTTGTTGAGGGAGTCGGAGGAGGCTGCAGTGGCGTGATCTCTCACCGCCTCGCCAACACACCTGCCGACGCCTTCACGCAGTCCTGTTGTAATAATCCACGCTCCTGGGCAGGGACAGTTCAACATTATGTGTTCAATAAAAAGCCTAAACAGGAGTCCATGAGAAATCAATGTCTCTAAACTTGGTCCTTATCTTTCCATGAAAGATGTTTAAAGTATATCTGAGCCTTTTGGAGATTTACTGAGATTTAATCAGCCTAATTCTGCAGTTTTGTCAGATTTTTGTCTTCCGTTTGTTTGCAGCCGTGTGTGAAATAAGCGCTGTGATCAGCTGATTTAACTGTACACTGTAAAAATCACAAAATCTTACCAAGTATTCTTGCTCTAGATTTTATTGCAAATATCTCAGCACACTTGAAATAAGACCAAACCTTAGAAGTAGCTTTTCGGCAAAACATAGGAGCTTATTTATAGTCAATAATTCATTAATGTTGATGAAAACATATTTGTTCTACTGGCAGATTATTTCACTTATAACAAGACATTTTTCCCATGTTATGAATGAAATAATCTGCCAATGTAACCAGTACATTTTAATCAATATTAAGGAATTATTGACTTAAAACAAGCTCATATATCTTGACAAAATGCTAATTGTAAGTTAGCTTTGTCTTCTTTCAAGAGGACCAAGATATTTGACTAGAAACTAGAACAAAGATACTTGGTGAGTTGTGTCTTTGCAGTGTGCAAGCAGTTCATTAACAAGCAGATCATTGCTTTCATCTATGTGATATAAAATCGAAGGAGAATACACAAAAGTTAGAGCTTGTAATGTTGGACAGAGTGAAAATGTGGTATAAATGCTTTTAACGCTGCACAAAGTGATATGATACAACAGCAACGTAATACTTAGCATTTCTGTGAGTTTTCAAGCTGATTGTGTGTGAACAAAATGAGTAAATAAATGTAAATGTGTAAAAAGTTCCTTGTCTAAAAGGACATTCTGTTCTGGATTATAATTGACTTTTCCAATTTGGAGAAAAACGTCTCGCTGCCCCTTTTCCATCTTTTCTGCTCTGGTTTTTAAAGACCTCGGTTTACATTCACCTGCTCTTTGTGCTGCTTTCACCAGTCCCTGCCTGAGGACTTCTCGGACCCAGGTCTTCACCTTCGTTCTGCCCTCTCCACCCACAACGGAAACCACCAGGTTTGGTATGGGAAGATGCCAATGGGTTCTCATCAAGTTGTAGACCATCGACGGCTGGGTGTCCCACGACAGGCGCAAGAACTGACAGAAAGAAAAAAATCAAAGAAACCAGCACACATCGGAGCAAGGAATCAGACATGAGGTCAATAACAGGTTTACGCAAATTTCTTACAGACCAGTGATTGTTTGATACACTGCAGAAACACAAAATCTTACCATGTAACTTTTGTCTAGTTTGTAGTGCAAATATTTTAGTATTCTTGAAATATGACAAATCAAACTTTTCAGCAAGAAATATGATCTAGTTTTAAGTCAATAATTTATTAATATTGATGAAAAAGGTCTAGTTCCTTTAGCAGATAAACTGACTTATAACATGCAAAAAATTTCTAATTATAAGTGAAATAATCTGCCAGTGGAACTAGAACTGGGTTGCTAGGTAACGGGTTGGGCTTGGCTGGGGTTGCTAGGTAACGGGCTGGGCTTGGCTGGGGTTGCTAGTGGAACTAGCTTTATTGACTTAAAACAGTTGTTTTAAGTTGTTTAAGTCAAACAGTTGTTTTAAGTCAATAAAACTTAAAACTATTGGAAAGTTTTTCTGGAAAGTTATTTTTAAGTTAAATTTGTCTTATTTCAAATGCGTTAAGATATTTACACTAAAATCTACAAAACTATGTGGGAGGATTTTGTGTTTTTACAGTGCATTAGGCTTTTCCACAAAGAGCCAATTTGCTTTGGATCACTTTTACAAATAAAACCATAATTTAACAACTGGATTTTGTATTTACTCGGTTCTTTTTCTGATAGTAAAATAGTTTGATTGTCTGAAACAGAATAAATCCACAATGGGACAATTTATTTACGAGAGTGCAACCACAGGTCAACGGTCAGGAATCTCCAATGTGTTGACAAATTCTATAATCTCTCTTGATAATTAGGTCGTAAGATTAAGACAAAGACATTTATTAACCAACTCTGATAGGATTTCTTAAAGCCAAACAGAAGGGACCCACTTGGCTGTGTCTCTTGCTGGCTCCTGCGAACTGAACCTCTCCAAAAGCGTCGGTCGGATATTCAGACGAGTGCTGGGCGCTGTCCCAGCGGTTCACAATGGCCGTGCTGAAGTAGTCCCCGAGCGCCACAGAGGAGTGGGCGTCTCTCGCTCCTCCACACTGACACAGCGCTCCATTACTGACACAAAGAGATCAGATGAGGGTCCGACATCCACACCGCGGCACGTAACCGTCAGGCTGCACTTACCTGAAAGAGTCCTCCACAAAGGTGGTGCAAACTCTCTTCTTGTAGATCTTGGCAATCCAAGTCTGTAAAGATTTCAAACAGTTCAGGAAGCTGAAGTGAAGCGTTTGCAGTTTAAACTCACTCTTACCCTTTTGTGCATGTTGCCTGCAGGGAGTTGAAAATGCAGCAGACAGCAGAAAATGTCTCAAGCTGCAGAGTCAGGCTCGACCCGAACACCTGAATGTGACTTTTGATGGGGCGCTGCTGATTTGACAGGAATCTATGAAGCAAAGCAGCAGCGGACGTCCCCGACTTAGAGGCTGATTTTCTTTGGTTATAATTGACTAATCAATTATAATAATTAATAGTGTAGTTAATTTCTTTGATTATAATTGACATAATCTAATAAAACTATACATATTTTGAAAAACTGCAAAAAGCACTAAATGTTAAATATTCTTGATCTAATTTCAAGTGAAATAAGATAAAGCTAACTAATTTTTATCAACATATAGGAGTTTGTTTAAAGTCAATAATCCTGTCATGCATAGCGGTCACTGCAGTGTCTAAAATGTTTTATAGATATCAGTGCACTGATATCTAAAATTTGTGTTTCTTGTGGATTTTTATGTGATAAATGCACATAGACCACCGGTCAGCACCACAGGATGACCAAAGATGTCCTCTGTGTGATTTGGGGAAAACTGAGAGTGAAGAGCACTTTTTATTTTACTGCTCTACTGGTCATCCACTGCAAGTTCAAGAAATGTTTTTGTTAAAAAACTTGACAAATTTCACAAACCGATGAAAAATGCCAACTAACTCAGGAATATACAGTCCCTCCTTCTACTGTAAAAGAATCTGGCAAGTAAAAAAAATATGTATTGTGACAGAAAATAGCATAAGCAAAGTACTGCGCAGGTATGTGCAGAACAATGCAGAATACGTTTCTGACATGAGCTGACATGTTAAGCATGTTGGGTCTGCTCCGTTTAGTTCTGCACATGATGCGGAACATGCAGAAGCCGTGCCAACTGGCAACAGTCTGGTTGCTGTGAGGAGTCAAGTTTCTCAGAAAAGTTAACTCTGCATTGCACTTCTATCCAGAGTTTTACAGTCAGAATAATAAACTTAATGTTCAAGTACACCTTGTACACTAGATTATTTATTTATATTTTTGTAATAAATGCCAATAAAAACTACTTAAACTGGTTATTCAATAATATATTAGTAAAAAAATATTTCAACTCAAATTATTAGAAATTCTGCACACAATCGTTAAGATAAACTGAAGAAAACCAATGTTTTCGAAGCATCTTTTTAAATTGATGGAGTCAAATGAGATTAAACGACAGACGTCAGGGTTTCAGTGTGTTGGAAGAATATAAATGTGCAAAACAGAGGATTTGCTTGTCCTTGAAAACTGGAAAAATTAACCATTCCTTAAGTCTGAACAAGAAAATAGAGGAGCCACAGGAAAACCTGAGTTTAATATTAATATCTCTGCTGTATGTGTATGCCATGATGTGAAGGCTGCAGGAGTAAGCTATTTAACCAGAGAAACAAACTTTACTGATGGTATGCATGATGATAACAGGTGTGATGTCATTCCCAAAACCTCATAACCAACTAACCAAACCTGTCCTCTTTATTTGCATGCAGTTACTTTTATTAAAACTGCATGGTTTACAGGAAAAGCAGGAAATAATAAAACAGTCAGAAGACCAGGGAAGATTGGGATGGTTCCATTGTCAAAGATCTTTAGCGAGCATTTCAAGTTGCAACAAAACTACAGTCTGGTTGATGACTTCGAATGAAAAGATATTCATGTCCAATTTTCTGTGAAATCGCTACAAGTCCAGGCCGTTCCAGGGAGACAAACTTACAATTTGATTCATCAGAACGCTGAGTGAAGAAATAAAACACAAAAATCCAACAAAAAATTAGTTATCCTCCTGCACAACTCGCATCTAATCTAAAAAAAGGGCATTTCTTACTGCTTATCTGCATTAAAGTCTGAATTGTGGCATTCAGATTTGTTTGTTTTCTTTTTTTTTTTATTTAGTGCCATTAATCTTCTTCCATACAAATGCAACTTCAATGCTTCTAGATCTATTCAAAAAATGTGTAAGAAGTCGCTTGTTTTATGTTTACTGATGTTAGCAAATGGATTCAAATATGTTAGATTCAAGTTTTCTAAAAAAAAATAAACCGCTTGACAATATCTTTCAGAGTATTAAATTGTTAACAGATTAAATGCTAAAGAAATTCAAAGGACATTTTTAATGTTTGTTTTCATAGTGCGTCTTTTAGTAACAAGTATCAAAACATTTCTTCTTATTTTTAAAATGGTCAAAATGTTATTTAGGAAGCCTGAATAAGTCTGAGGTGAACAGTAACGCTTATAAATTTGCTAGTTTTATTGTGCGGCTTGACTTAAACGCACCATGGATTTAGAACGAAGCCGTAAATCACACAGTAGAAGCGCAAACAGATCCCGGCACAACACCTGCAACTGATTAAGCGTGGTCTCTGAAGTGTAAAACCGTTTAATGTGTTGCTGGTCGGAGCTTTTATTCAGTTAACTGCCCAAGGCATTACGTCAGCTAACTTCCGGTAACTTGTTGGACAAGTGGTGTTGAAGATTACGCTGGACTTTTACGTTCCCACCGTAATGACGCCACTACAGAGACGTGGGTTTCCATAAACGGAACATTGTTATTACCGGTGTCGGTGACAGTAAGTAAGTGGGTGAGCGAGGTCCCGACAAAGCTAATGTTTCTCTACTTTTGAGACTCTCAACAATGCATACCACAGCTCTGAGGACACGTTTCAATTGCTCTTTTCCATCACCGCCGTCATGACACACCTCGCTTTACTTGTTTAGTTGCTTCTCTTAAAGGTTTACCCACCTGGTCTTTCTCAGATTTACTGAGCTTGTCTGTGCTTCCTCGCACTTCTCCGGTATCTTTCATCTTCCCCTTCCTTTGATTTCCGTCCTTGTCAGTGGGAAGTTTTGTAGAGGAAATCCCTCGAGGTTAGGATTTCTCTCTGGCCATTTCCCTCCAGTTCCTGTTTGTATTGTCTCTGCAGCCAAAGAGGAAAAGCGAGGTGCGCTGCAGCCCAGACACACCTAATAGGTGAGGGTGTGGTTTCACAGCTCAGCTGTTTGTCTGTCGAACTCCAAAAAAAGCGGCGTGGCTTGAAACCACAGGCATTTAAAAACAAATGACGTCAGCTGCTACCTTTTTGAGTCCACTTCCTGACATAACTGTAAATACAGATCTATTAATTTCATAAATTTTTTACTACTTTAGCTGGTTGTTTACATCAGGTGTATCGTATTTGTTTATGGTGTCACAGTTTTGAAGACAAAAGCTTAAAATGAAACAATTGTTTTAGTCATTTTTGGTTGATTATTCTGACGATTAATCAAATATTCTTATAAAAATGTCACATTCTGCAGATTTTTCATTTAACCACTTTAGCCTTTTTTTAAACATTAGATGCAAATAAACAAATCCCCTCCCCTTTTTAAAAAAACAAGATGAACATTTCATTACCTAAAATGCAACAGCATTATTTTAATCATTTGTAGATAAACTGATTAATTTTTCAATAATTGGATTGAGAAATTTTTTAGAAATTTTAGAAAATTATATTTTTTCTGAGTCTGCATAATACTCAAGTTAACCATTATTCGATTACTAAGTTAGTTGATTATTATTTGAATTAATTACATTTAATGTGATTAATCATCCCAGCTGTAAATATGTATTTTTGTTAAAACTGTGTTGTAATTGGTGAGATTTTCCCAGAGATGATGAAAGCTGTGGAGTAGAGAGGATGTAGCAGCTGACACGGCTCTGTGGAGCCACGCTGGGGATGGACGACCCCTGTGGACCGGCAGATCAGGGCAGCGGGCCAAAAAAGAGGGGACCGGACCATGGCCTTCAACTAATCCTCTGAAGGAAAGTTTATTCTTGCACTTTGCTTTCACTGGTTTCCCTCAGTGAAATACTTCTCTGACGCCCACCAATTCTATTTCTAAAAGTGAATTTGTCTCTTTTGTAAGTGAGAAAAAAAGGTAGGATTTTTTTTCAGCCAGCTGATCCAGCAGTGCACAGCAGAAACTGGGTCCACCACTTCTGTGGTTCTCATTAAAGGAGTTTCAAACCATAGAAATAATATGGTGGAAATTATTGGGATGTTTGAACCCATAACTTTTTAAAGCCTTTTACAAACTGTGTAAGGTACACTTCAGTTGTATTTTTTTATTTTTATAAAGTAATAATTATATTTTCTAAGCTATAAACTTCTTACAACAGCTGACACACATCACCCATGAACAGCTCCAGAACCGCACACACCCAAATAATATTAAGGAAATATTATAAATATTTTACCCCACATTATTTCTATTCAATATAATGTAAATAAATAAGGTATAAATTAAATAAATACATGAAAACTCACCTCAAAAAGAGTGATTTGTGTTATTGGTCTGAGTCTCTACCGTCACTTTGGACCAATCACGGCTGCAGGAACTGTTGTTGCAGTTCCAGGTCTCACCACTAAGAGGCGCTGAAGAAGCGGAGCCGTTCCTGGATGTTCACGCTTTTCTCATTGAAAAGACGTAAAAACTGGTTTTCATCATTGATGTTGTTTTAAGTCATTTTATAAATGAAATATTAATCTGTCAGTGGAACTAGAACTTTTTCATCAATATTAAGGAATTATTGACTTAAAACAATCCCCTATATCTTGCTGAAAAGTTACTTGGAAGTTAGTTTTCTATCAAATCTACTAAGATAGACTTACTTAAAGGGTTTTATGCTTTTTTAAAGATGGTGATGAATGTTTACTTGAAAGCTCATTATAAATGTGGAGGACTTTAACTCAGGTCTTATGAGGAAAATATTAGATTTGCCCAACCTGGGAAAGTATTTTGAAGACGTTTCTTAAAGGGGACTCACTATGCAAAAATATCATTTTTATGTGGGTTTCTACTGCTTAAAAAAAACAACACCCAGCCGTTTTTTTAAAATGAATGTTCCTAAACCTGTTGAGTCTTACTGTAACTAGAGCTTCTGGAGCGATCTGTTTAAACTGGTGCCACTATACTACCTAATCCAGGTGTCACGCCCTTTTTCAGTTAATGAAGTGAGTAGCCTTGCAGCTGCATAAGAGCCACACCTGTTAACAGTAGCTCTCTATCTAACAATGACTCTTGTTATCAGGCTGCATTAATTTCGCAGCTCAACATGAGCTCCAAGGGTGTTGTAACCATTAAAAACCTCTAGAACCGTGTGCCATTAGTTTTTACAATCACTAAATTAAAAAAACGACAACATTCATTTGATTGTCCACACTTCATCTTAGAATTTTTCATGATGCTTTATTTAGCCAGGTTAATCAACAGCATAAACTCAGTAATCAATAGTTTTAGATCCAAGTTAATTTCAAATCACATATATTCAATCTACTGTCTTTCCCTAATCTGTGTTGCTAATTAATGAATGAGCAGTTCGACTCAGGCTCAGATGATCTCGGCGACAGAGGTTTGCTTCTTCCCTGCAGAGTCCTCCTCTGAATGGATGTGAGATGTTGTTGTCCTCAGTGTGGCTCAGCTTGTCATCAGCTGTGGAGTCTGTAGCCACAGTCTGTTGCAGCTGCTGGAGATCTTTGGGAGAGTCGAGGACAGCAGTCCAATCAGGAGCCAGGGCTGTAGGTCGTGTCTCTCCGTGGCTCCATCCGTAGGTTTTCTGTCTGGATGTCTGCAGCCGGGGACGAAGCCCTTTGTTCCCCTTTTCAGAGTCTTTTATACTTTTTCAACAACAACAATTTCAAAGTACCTCTATTTTTTTTAGTTTCGTCCTGAGCCTAACTGATTTTTACCTTTGGCTTACTACAGCACTAAGGTTACAATGTGATTAATCTTGTACATTTCACAATCATATTATTATTTAATCACAATAATCAACATCAAAAGATTACAACCACTTCTTACATGGGCCTGTTTCAGTAATAAGACTCTTTTCTTCTTAATCACCATTATTTTATTCTGTGCATGAAACTGGAAATATCTCAACATGCCATCCGGCCCCGTCTGGCCCCGTCCGGCCCTAACGGCCAAATCCATGCGGGTCCTTGGCCTTCGCTCCCCCCTTCTCCCATTTACCGTTGCTGAGTCGGTCCTGGTTGCGAATGCGACAATTCGTGGATGTGCATATTCTGCGAAACGGGACTCGACGGAAACGTAACTTTTCATTCAGGGTGTCACTGAAAAAAAAAAGGAGGAGATCAGCTATTTTACAAATTAATGATCAGGTTGAGTTTATTTAACATAAATCTAAAATAAGGAAGGGATTAAACAAAGAAGTAGGAAGACTGGACAGCTTAAACTGGTTGATGTTTGAATAATACGGTTTGGGAGCGTATGCTGTCTCCTTGACCTCTGACCTGTGAGTCTGGTCCTCTCTCAGGAGGCCGGCATCCATTCCAGTGCTGCAGAAACAAACAACGTGGTTCAGCTTTACAATCATTCAGCTTTGATTTTAATGATTACATAAACCTCTATGCAATAAGACTGTCAGTTATTAACAAATAGTTTTTATACATTACACTGCAAAAACACAAAACCTGTCAGGTATATTTGGTCTAGAGTAAATATCTTAGTGCTACTGAAATAAGACAAAAGTAATTTAAACGTAACTTTTCAGCAAAATATAGGCGCTTGTTTTAAGTCAATCACTTTAATCAGGATTATTGATTATTTCACTAACTAGTTCTTTTTAAATAAATACTAAGGAATTATTTATTTAAAACAAGTTCCCAAGTCCTTCTGAAAAGTTGTAAGTTAGTTTTGTCTTATTTCAGTGTAATAAGATATTTGCGCTAAGAACTAAACCAAAGACGTTTAGTGAAATTTTGTTTTTGCAGTGTATTAATTTAACTGTGAAGACGATAAACTAATGATGAGCAAGTATAACCTTACAATGAAAATAATCAGCTGGTATTTTAATAAAAGTGTCTTAAAACTGCTTATTAATAATTTTTAAAGAGCTTCATTAGTAATGGTATTTTTAGCATTATATTAATATTTTTATGGGAACGTCTTGCCTTATTACATTATGTACATTAGCAGGGAGTGAGATGTTGCTGACCTTTGACCTTCTTTCAGTGCCGAGGCAGAAGTCAAAGACACCATCATCAGCAGCAGCAAAAGAAAAGTAATCCCCATTCTGTCGTCACCTGGAATGAAAAAAAAGTTAATCTGAGTTATTATCTCAGAAGTATGGAAGACAATTAGTGCCACTAAAAAAAGACAAAGAATTATTATCCTCAGAATTGTGACTTTAATTCTGAGCAAAAAGGAAAGAAAAATCTGACATTTTTCTAAGGATTCTTTTTTCCCCAGTTTATCCCTAATCATCTTCCACAGCAAAGAAATAAAGCTCACTTAAAAAAGAAAAATAACTTCATACTTACAGACAAAATGTGACTGTTTTCCGTTGCTTCTTGCAGAAACTATTGGTAGCGTCTCTCTGACTGTTGGCTTCCCCGGTCTGTCGCTGGTCCTCTTAAAGGCCGGCGGGGTGAGGGGGGCGTGTCCATAAATGTCGTTTTAAATGTCGGCCGTTCGTTCATTACTGGTGTAATGAATCAGTCACTCTGGCAGCTTTACTCTCTGCTTACAGGAGCCATGAAGGCAACATAAACTATCCTCAAGCCAAAACATCCCAGCACTTGTTCTTCATGTGACCTTGCAGGTTGTGATGTTTACATTGATCCCCTACACACACACACACACACACACACACACACATACGCCTCCTCCATCCCTCTCCTCCCTCGCTTCACTTGTTTCTGAGCAATTGTTTCAGAAATTACTGGTCCTTCACTCACATCCACCTCGCCTCCAACTTCATTTGAGAGAAACAGGAGCAGCTTGATCTCACAGCTGCTCTCAGGTTTTGCAGCGATCATAAAACAAACCACAGCAGCCAGAGTTGTTTACTGTCCTATGGATTTTTTTTCCCTTTATTGAAATAAAAACAAAAAGTGGACAACACAAGTATACAGATTGTCCATCCATATAACGGCCAGGAGCCGTCTACATCAAATACAGTTTAAGCTGAGGTACACATTGTTTTGGATGCCTGGAGGCAGTAAATTCTAGATCCTGCAAGTTCTGCCTTGCAGGATCTTGTTTTGCTCAATTATTTTTGTTCTTATATCTCCCAAAGAGAGATAAAAAATGAAGAGGAAAACATGTTGGTGGACAGAAGATGATGATTTATTCTAAAAATCGGACATTCTCCTGCACAAATTGCAATTTTGAAAAAGTAACTTTGTGGCTAAGAGCATGTAAATGTCTCAGCAGATAAGCTGTGTCTTTTGTGAGGACATGCTGAAACAGTTCAGAGCCACCGGATAGGTGAGAGAATCTAAACTGTCTTTCAGCGCTTCATCATAGATTGTAGGACTCTGATAAATGTCCAGGCATGACGCTGGAATTCAAAAATGTGTCGGAGAGGTCAGCTATAAATAATAAATTGTCATCAGGTGGAATAGTATTGGGGGTTTGGTACTGTTTGAGCTGGAGTCTAGAACCTCTGATGTTTTTATCAGGGAACAGAGGGACGTGTACAGCAGAAGGTTCGATGCTGGCAGCTTTAAGAAACTCAAAGTCAGGTGCAGCAATTTGTACCCCAAACTCTGGCTCTGGTTGAACTGCCTGCTAATCATCAGAGCAGGCGGTTCAATCAGACTTCTGCTGCATCCAGAGCAAGAATGGAAGACGAGCTCCATGACTTTCAATAAACATCCCATTGAATTCAGCTCAGAAACATTTAGTGTGAACAGGACATTATCCTCAAGCTTTGCAAACTGTCAGCTGCATTAAAATACACATTTGCCTTAATAACACAAGAGTCAGATCAATGTAACACACTTCCATCTCAAGATACAAAACATGCCATTAAGCATTCTGGGAAATAGTTCCCACTCCTGTCTTTTTCTTCTTTCAGTTTTTTTTAAGTTGCATCTGACACGTAAATGTTTGTCCAGAGAGGCAGAAATGGATTGTTTCGTTCTCTGATTGTGCAGGACGAAGCAGCTCTTTACCGACACCTAGTGGCCATTCTGCGTCACTGCTTGATAAAGAAGCGTACGCTGCGTGAGGACGCCGACGAGCTGCAGGGGTGAGGAGAAAAATAATAAATAAAAAGCCAAATAACTAAATAAATAATAAAAAAAATATGATGGACAGTACAGATATGAACAAGTTTGGTGAGAGGAATTTCATATAATATTCTGACAAATGTTTTCTAAACAGTTAGCAATTATCAGGACTAGCATAGCACATTCATTATTAAAGAATAACATATTTTGTTATTGATTTGAATGATTACATTACTTGAAAGTTCTTTATAAATGTGGAGGAGTTTAACTCAGATCTTGTAGGGAGAATATAAAATTTGCACAACTTGGGAATGTATTTTCATGCCATTTTATTTAAAGGAGACGTATTATGCAATACAATTCACATTTTGCACATTTTTATTCTTTCATTTGGGTTTCTACTGCTTCTGAAAAAATAGCCCAACTGCTTAAAAAACACCCAACTGTTTCTTTGTTCAATAAATTAATGTTTTTTGGTGTCTGGAAAAGGAACCGTTTCACAAACCTGCCACTCACCTAGCAACCTTCGCTTAGCTTGTTGCCTAGCAACACCAGACAAGCCCAGCCTCGTTACATAATAAACAAAAAATGTTTTTATGTTTTTACTAAAGGCGGGTGAACTACAGGTTCTGTATGTGTAAATATTTAGTTCTTGTACTGAGCTGAATGTTTAGGTCATTTCTCACCCAGAGGATATTTTGGGTTTTAAGTTGTTGACAGAGGGAAACACACACACCCTAACACTATAAAATATCTCACACTCATTGTTTTTCCAGCGTTTGAATTCTGGATTAAATGTTCCAGAGGAAACCTTGAGTTTTATTCATTTTCCTCTTGTAGATGCAGCTGCTTGAGATTAATTTAAGACACTTCCTGCTTTCAAAAGCATTGATTTAAATACATAGAAACTTTTAAATGAATAAATAATTGATTGAGCTACTGTTTGAAAACTAGGATCAATTGGAATGTATGTTAATGAATTTAAATGTTTTTTTTGTAAAGAGCCTTTTGAATTGCTTTCATATAAATAAACTGAATTATTTTTAAAAAAATAAAATGTCAAAACATGTTTGTTAAATGTAGGTAGAAATTAATCTGTCTGGATTTAAAAATCATGTAAATTAAATATTTTTACTGTTAAAACAGGGGGAAAAAACTTTAATTTATGTTGTGAGGGATACAATTCTTTATGAAACACAAAAATGTGTGTTTTCTACACCAAAATACAACATTATTTACAGCTTTTTAAAAACATTACAATAAGTTCTGGTTTGACATTATCCTGCATAATACTGGTAAATAAACACAATGTAATGTTTTTTGCTTTACAGAATTTTTCTCATGAGTTTACTGACTTTTTATACAGTTTAAATTACTAAAATAAATACACTTTTCAGTGATAATGTAAGTAAATGCGATACATTTGAGCAGTACCAGGTAGTTGAGACGCATATATTTAATTCTGAAACACTGAGACGCTGCGTCAGTCCTTGTGAGCTGCTGCTCTTCGGCGCTACCGGCCGTATCCGTACGGGTCGTTGGCGTCCTTCGACCCCTCTTTCCCTTCCGTCTTGCTGAGTTGGTGCAAAGAGTTGCCCAGGTTGTGAAGGAGACACGTCCCCAGCTGGCACACTGTCTTGTATGGGAGTCGACGAGGGCGTAACTTCAGGTTGTCACTGCAGAAATAAGAAGTTAAACAGTTAAATCACAAATGAATCATCAGGTTGAGTTTATTTAACCCAAACAGGTAGGAGGGTTTCTGTTTCTACCTGTCTTTGAGACTAGACAGCTTAAACTGATTGACGTTTGAATAATACGGGATGATCTTCGGTTTGGGAGCGTATGCTCTCTCCTTGACCTCTGACCTCTGAGTCTGGTCCGCTCCCCCTGAGAGGTCGGTATCTATTTCATTCCTGCAGAAACGACACGGTGTGACGATGTGGTTCAGCTCACAGCAGTTACAACCATTCTGCTTTGATTTGACCCTCTATGCAGTAAGACTGTCAGTTATTAACCAATAGTTTTTATACATTACACTGCAAAAACACAAAATCTTACCATGTATTTTTGTTCTAGTGTAAATGTCTTAGTGCAATTGAAATAAGATAAAAGTAAAAGTAACAGGAGCTTGTTATAAGTTAATAATTTTCATCAGAAATATATTATTTCACTTAAAACTAGAACTTTTTAAATCATTGTTAAGGAATAATTGACTTAAAAGAAGCTCCTAAATCCTTTGAACAGTTACTTGTACGTTAGTTTTGTTTTATTTCACATGTTATAAAATACTTGCGCTAGGAACCAGACCAAACTTCCTCAGTGAGATTTTGTGTGTTTGCAGTGAATTAATCTGTTAAAATAATAACATTAAAATTGATTCTTCTTCAAAATAATCAACATGAATTCAAATAAAAGTGCATTAAGACTGCTTATCAATAATGTATAAAGAGTTCATAGCTTTATTAGTAATGGTGTTTCAGTGTTACATTAATATTTTTATGGGAAAGTTGTGCCTTATTACAGGGAGTGAGGTGATGCTGACCTTTGACCTTGTCTCAATGGGGAGGCAGAAGTCAGAGACACAATCAGCAGCAGCAGCAGAAAAATAATCCCCATTCTGCCCTCACCTGGAATAAATAAAAAAAAATTATTATCGGTTATTACCATGAAGTATGGAAGACAATTAGTGCCACTAAAAAAAAACAAAGAATTTTTCTTCTGACTTTTGACCTCAGAAAATTAAGGTCTGAGGAAAAAGAAAATAATTATTTTTTTTTTTTTAGTTCCCCCAGTTTATCTCTAATCATCTTCCATAGCAAAGAAATAAAGCTCACTTAAAAAAGAATAATAACTTCAT